ATTAGCTCATCTTTCCAGTCGCTGTCGAGACTTCGAGATATAATCTACGTTCACGTTGTCAACGCAGCACCACCACTGAGGATGTCAGCCGCAGTAGCTAACGAAACGTCAGGATAGAGTCACTTAGACCACGGCCTTATAGCCCGAATATTCATTATACTATGGATTCCGGCCGTGAAAGCCTTTGTTCTTATATATATATTAATTGTTCACAACAATTGTTTCACCATAAGATTGACTTGTTGAGGTGAAGATATTCTGATTAAAATTGTTACAAAATTAGCATAAATATTAAAAGTTCACAAATTGTGTGGGGTGAAATTATGTATAAAAAAAACATAATAAAGATAAAACAAAGGATCAAAATCTGGAGTTTATTTAATGGAATGTGGAGACTGTAATCAAGTCTATGTAGGACAAACTGGGAGATCCTTCAATCAAAGGAATACAGAACACAGGAGGAGCTATACTAATACGAAAGCTGATTCTACATATGCAGAACATTTATTAAAGGAAAAACATACATAAATTTTCAAATTTTAAAAGAATTACCAAAAAGCCATAAATTAAAACTAGCTGAAAGTCTATATTAATAAATACCATAAATTAAATATTTCACTAAATGATCAAATTGATGTAAATAGTTCTCTATTATTAAATTTAAATATGTCTTCAAAAACTTAATGTCTTACCTTATCCCTCCCTTTTGTTCTTTCCACCCCATGAAATTTGTAAACTTAATATTTATGCTAATTTTGTAACAATTTTAATCAGAATATCTTCACCTGAACAAGCCAATGTTATGGTGAAACATTTGTTGTTAAAATAATTCGAATAAAATAATTGTTGTTAATTTTTGAATCTTTACTTTCGTTTCCTTAAATTGTTATTTTTCTGTCTATTACAAACCAATCTAAGTATGAATATGCATCTATACAATAAAAATTTTACGGTCTCGCAAATAAAATGTAGGATCGCAGACATTTGAACAAAATAAAAAGTATAACAATTTATTTTAGTTAAAAATCTAGTTTCGTTCCAGTGTAGTGACAACGTTCAATAAAAATTATCATATATTTTTCAAGTCGTACCTATTCAATGTATTGGGTTTAACGTCTCTGTGATAATGTGATTGACCATACCAAACCCGAGTAAATCATACAACCAATGAATCAGATAAAGAAATGATGTCACCGTCCCCTTCTTCTTTATTATCTTATCAGATTTCTCTTAACGACTGAAGTACGCTATAGTCAGCCGTAGTATTTGCTTTAACAGCGTCTTCCTCGCACCAGTTCGTTTCTCCGTTGGCAAATAATTGTTTAACGCGAATTATAGTGTGTAGAAGTGATGTTTCAGTAGGTGTATCTCCTACAAAGTAAACAGCATTCTGTTAAAAGGATTAGGAAGACCCACCCAGCAAGTAAAACCCAGTGTAAGTACCTACATACATTTATAGAAATTAAGGAATTATGATGTTGAAGACAGTTAATTATTTAGTTAACTTATCGTTGGTTAAAACGTTAAAAGACATTTGTTACCTCTATTATGCATTAATATTAGCATATTTACGCTTATACGAATTTATGACCGATATTATTAGGTAAAAATAAGTCATGTTGAGTTTCTGATTAGTGCTGTACTGCTTATCGTTAGTTATGGACTTACGAGCTTTTCCATTCTTGGCAGATAATCGAGGAAATAAAGCACAAAATAAGCCAAACATTCGAATTTTTGTGTAGTAAGTCGGATCGAGATACTGTCTACAAACTTTTTAAACATAAGAGATCAATTCATCTTCAAAAATTAATCGCAGAATAAGAAAAATAGTCTTAATAAGTACACTNTTTTTAGCCTAAGGTATATCTAATAAGTGAAGTTTTTCAAATTGATTTCTAAGGATTTCGGATTATACGCATTTAATAGCACACCACAATATCTTGTAGTTTTCAATTTTACACAGCTGGCGTATATCAATTCGATATTGTTTTGTGGACTGTTTTGTGGTAATTCATAGAATTTCGTAGTTCCTTGCTAAAAGTGCAATAAATGATGATTTGGCAGGTGCTGATATCCATTTGGAACTATGAAATTCCATGGATCATGACATTGAACTCGGAAAACAATATCGATCCAACATTTTAGATTATCCATTTCCAAGATTTTTTTGGGCTCTCTTCAATTAAACAATTATAAGGCATTCGTGGAATGTTTCTTTGTCCCCTGTTTAAGCTTCTAATACCTTCAAAAGCCAATGTGAGCAACTTTCATTGATCATTTTATATAAAGTTTGATCGGTGATAAAAACTATTAACGTCAAAAATGTATTTTACATTTTACAAATAGAAAATACGTTTGGAAAAGTATTTTCAATAAAATACAAAATGCTTTTATCAAAAAAGAATTTAAATGCAAAATAAAAATAGGAATTTTTTATTTGGTATTTACGTTTTAAATTCAAAATTTCAAATAAATACGCTAATCACAAATATAGAGTCGACGACGGCCTGCTAGGTACCTGGGGCCCAGGGCGACCATCACTTTCAGGAGTTATATTTTAAATTGAAGCTGAAAATTTGTAGACGGTCTTACGAATCAAATGCAAAAATCCACATCTTGATCCGACTTTTTTTGAAAGGAACTCAAAAATATCTATTTTAAAATCCTGGATAGGTATGCTCCCCCATTTTATTTCTGAAACCACTGAAACTGAAAAAACTAAAATTATAAAAAAACAGCAGGATTAGAAAATATTATATTATTATAACTATATGGTTAGTGTAAGAAATGAAATTAAATAAGTAAAAAGCTTATTGATAATGCCATTCCTTCTTATCGCTAAGATATGTAAGACAAAAAATCTAAAATAAATAGTGAGAGATTTGCAAAAATGTTTTTAACATTAAAGGAAAAACATTACTTGAAATTCTTATTTATCGATGTTAAGAAACTTCTTTGGTGTTGAAAAAATCATGAGTTTAAAATAAATTCGTGGTTTTCTTTCATCCAGTAAGGTCTACAAGTTTCTAGCCTGTTATTATTTTTCAATATAGTCTTCCTTTATTTCAATACACTTTTCACAACGCTTTATTAACATTTTGTTGGCAGATAATTGAAGAAACGACAAAAACACAGTGAAATTGTTTATGAACTTTAATTGTGATTTGGTTAAAAATATCCTTTTGATAAGCTATTACCATATAAATTGCTAACGGTTAAGACGTCCGACTGGCTGACTGTCCGTCACGAATTCTGCTTACTGTATATATATGTTAACGGAAATGTGTGTGTGATCGGCCATTGTATACAATTCCTAGGAAATGTATATAATTCCAGAAATCGCCCGGAAATGCCTGAAATAAATTATATTAGACACGTTAATGATTTTGTATGGTCAGGTAACGAAAAGTCTAATAATTTAATGACATAAAATTTGTAGGCCAGAAACTTTTCGATCTTACTGCGTACAATACTGAATAGAGTATACCATTTTGGATTTACTTTTTTCAAAATTTGAATTTTACCTAAACAAAGACGAAAACAACAAACAAAACACCAAAGTGCCGTTTTGTGTTCACTAATTAGTAGATGTGATTTAATTATTTTGGGTAGATGCGCTGAACGGAATAGACGTTCATAAACTACATAGAATTAATTAATTGGAAAGAGCAAACCGACGGCATCACATTTGTAACATCACTGATTTTGTCACTAAATGATCGTTCCGATTTTAATTGAAGAAACAGCAGGCTGCATGGAACTCTTCATTATCGCATTGTGGAACACGATTCTTTAATTAAAAGTTTGTCGCTGCAACGAATTTCACTACCAAACTTCATCGTGGGCACCGGAACCTATTTTGTAGTTTAATAAAAAAAAAAAACAGTTGCAGGATTAATTCATTATGTGCATGTCAATAAATAATTATTTTGATTTTAATGTCAAGATCAGAGCATTAGTATCGAGTTCATTGTTTGAAAAAAGGAAGATAATTTTATTTCTAGCTGAAATAATTAATGAAATTATAGGCATCTCCCTCTACAGACTTATATACAGTGGCGATTTCAAAATCAAATTGTTCATTGATTTCCAATCGTGGCTTATATCAAATGGCGAGGGTGTTAACTGAGATAATCTGTTGTGGGGTAAAATTAAGTCGATTTCACGTTAATATTTGATAATTATTAAAATATTAACCACCACTAAAAAGGAAAATCCTTCATATGTATTGAAATTAACAGTGTGTGACAACAGCAACAAATTTTTCCTCACTATCTCGTTAATTTGAGGTAATTTATATTGGATAAAAAAAGTAAAAATGAATTTTCACATTAGTATTGACCACTATTAAATGTCAAAGTATTTCATATATATA